ATATATATATATATATATATATATATATATATATATATATATATATATATATAGCAAGAAGTGAAAAATATTTATCCTTGTATGCTTTGATCTGGACAAAAAGATGGATGTTTGTAGTTTTAGTAGTCCGTTCAGAATTGGTCTCTTACGGCCAATTCTCCTAATAAAGCTAATATATGATAACACTTCTTCTGGATGAGGTTAGATTTTGTCGAAAAAGGGAGAGGATGATACCGATCTGATCCTTTCGCTCAAATGCCAATGCCAATGATCGAAGCTGAGGGGTACCATCAAACAAGCGGAGGTCAATTTCTGAAAGATTGTTAATTCAATTAGGAAAGCGCATTCACCACATAGCATTGAGGAGACTGTAAAATCTCAACAACTTTTAGACGATTCTCTTTCGATACGAGTATACACTATTATGAGATAAAAAATTTATAATCTTTGGGAAAAAAAAAAAAGAGAGAGAGAACTCAAGTTTGTATCCATGTAAGTGCATATTCATTGTTTTTACAATAGTATCATTTGAGTTACAAAACATCTTTGGAATCTACTTAATGACAGAGGTTATTTTTATTTTGAATTTATATGCTGGTCACTAATAAATTTTAATTTAGAAACTATTACTCAGCAACTTAAGCCAACTTTTGTTTTCTCATTTATATTTGAATTTATTATCTTTTTTGATCGGATACATGATTTTAGTGTCGATCTAATAGCATAAGATAAAAACTCGTTTGGATTCTCAGGAAGGGAGAAAAAAGAATCCAATTACGTATTTCATATTATATTTCCATGTACTATTCTGTTTTGAATTGTAAACCGACTTCTAAATGTTCTATATAAGTTCTGTGCATACTTTCATAATTATTAGTACGTCTTTACTCGAAAAAAAAAAATTCTTTTTATACCTATCGAACCTCATACCATTTCTTTAGTAAAATATAAGGTAAAATTCACTTATAATTTCAATTCTAGCATATGACATTTATGTTGAGTCTCTATCTGTCGATTCATTTTCTTTTTGAGCATTTTTTCAAAATTATTTTAAATAATTCTTACTTAGTGTTATCTTTTTTAAAACTTCTCATAGAATATTTATTATTATTATTATTATTTTTTGTAAAAGATGATATTGCCCTACTAGCCACCACCCTTGCCTCTCCTCCCGTCTCCTCTTCTTTTATTGTTTTCCTTGCTCATGGTCCCTTTTGATAGAAGATTATAATAGAGGTAAATATAAAATAATAATATTATATTCTTATATACTCTAATCCTCAATCAACCTATGATTTGATAATCAATCACATATTTGAGTATATGATTTGAATATATGATTTGAATGTATGATTTGAGTGCATAATTGAGGGAAAAATTTCTTTCAAAACCTATATAAATAGGAATTATCTTAATGAATGATATCATCCTTTTAAAATAAATTATTTAATTATTTATAGTATCATAGTCTTCTTGCTCCAAGCAATGCTCCCTCTTCCACACACTCTTTTTTTACCGTCGTAATTTCTCTTTCTTGCTCTCATTGTTACTTTACAACTATCAATTTCTGTTTTTACTTTCAGATTTTGACATTGCACTAAAGATGAAGACATGTGACTCCTCCGTACCAATCTCTTAGTGTGATATGCTTTGCAACAACTCCACTTTGTTGATCTAATTAATCTCCTCTAGTGATCAACTTGTTTATCTGATAATCCTCCATCGCTATTCAATTTTGCTCAATTGGTGTTTTCTCTACTCCTACATCAATGCTATTCATCATCTTCATCGACGTTCTTGTCCCCTTCTTGTTAGTTGTCAAACCCACCAGCGTCTTGGATCCATGATCAACCTCTCAATGATAGCCCATTACTTTCTACCATCTTCTCAACCTTGCTATCAACACTCATGATTGAGAGAAGGACTAAGTGAGGAAGGAATAAATCATCCTCTTTTACACATCTTAGATCATATCATCCCTTGTGATTTTTTAGATATGATCTCCTCCTTCAAATCAAATCCTCCCTTTTGCACTTCTTAGATTTGATCTCATCTAACAAAACTAATCTCCACCATCTATGCATTCAAACCAAATCATCAATTGATTATGGATTTTCTTCATTGGATCACATCTTCTTGTCCTTCTCATTTATATTTGATGCTTCAACTATTTGTTTTAGAAAATAACAGTTCATCTCAATTTATAAGACATATATTAATGTAGCAACTATAATCTCATTCAAGTTCTCCAAACTTACTAGATAGAATACCACTAAAATCTCTAATTGGTCTTTGAGTAGAACACACAACATCCAAACGATAGCCAAATTCAAAAATTGGCTTGTGCAAATCATTACGAAAACCAGCAGACAATAATCTGAATCTTTCATTTAGTAAAAGCTCTTTAGGCAATCCATGAGCAAATGTAGAACCGCTTATGTCATCAACTTGAACTTTTCTTCGAATCCCATTAGTCTTAATCATATTTGACTTATGTTCCACCTAATAGACTCATTTGTAAATAATTAGATTTACATTTTTTAGCTTTAACACAAGATCTCAAGCTTCATTTCTTTATTTATGGCATCCTCTCCCACCTTAAAACCTTTGGCTACATGCTTAAGATTATTAATTAGTTAAAAAAAAAAGTGTGACACATATTTATATTGTCTTCATCTATGTAACGTGCTAGTTTGATAATTATTGGTGAGGAAGAAATAACAGGAGTAGATACAAATGAGGGAGCATTAAATGATAAAGGAATGAAATCTCAACTATGGGTTTTAAACATATATCACTTTCATTATTATGATTGATATTTTCAAAAAAAATTACTTGTGAAGGATAATAACAAGAAACTTCATCAAACATAATATCTCGAGATACCACATACCTATGTGTTTGTGAATCCATGCATTTCCAATCTTTCTTCCTTTCATCATAGCTAATTGATATATGAATATAGTATAGAGAATCAAATACTATGAAATGTTTAACATATGATCTCTCATCAGATTGATTGAACCAAGAGGAATTTGATTAATAACATAAATTGTATATGTCATACCTTTTGCCCATAAGGCTTTAGGTAATTTCGTGAAGCCAACACTTAAAGTCTTCGAATTTTTCATTAAGCCACACTATTTTATTGTGATATATTTGCACACGTAAGTTTTGATGTTATGATCTTTGTAAAAGGAATAAAATATGTGAACTTTATGTTATTATCGATGCTTAATATTTTATTTTTTTTGAAGGGCATTTTCAACTGTTAACTTAAATTGTTGAACAGTATTTAGTTTATGTTATTATAAGAATTATAAAGTTATATCTAATTTTTTCTCAACGTAATTGATGACATTAGATATTTATTTAAAGAATAAAAAAGAGTAAAGAAAATTACTTTCTTCCGCTAGCTGTTGCCACATTTGGTATTCTGTCATCCTGAGACCCTTCCCAAGCTGCATCATCCTTGTTGCTCCCATTTGTCTCTTTCAATGGTGCCTTAACGGACTTCTGCTCTGTTTATTTCCTCCGAACCCAAGTCCATATACTGCGGCGGGGTCGCCTGGGCAAAGCAGTGGTGGGAATCCCTGACAAGGCCGTGCTCTGCCGCCGCCCGGATCAGATACCGCTGCCCGCGGTACAGCGCCACTAGCGGCGGCTCCTCCACCTAGGAGTCTTGGCTCCTTATCAACAGCCGAGTGACGGTAGGAAGAGAAGCCAAATGGTGAGGGAGAGAGAATGAAATAAGCGATGGAGAGGGATTGCAGTGGACGTGATTGAAAACGAGACGGAGAGCGAGCGAGGATCAAAAAGCCTTACGGTGAGTTAGTATGACCGGAAAAGGCTGTGGCTGTCTACAGGACCACGAGGCCTTCCTTCAACATGAATCCAAGAAAGCAGGGTACCATAAAGATGACGGTACGAAGTCTACAAAGGCCTAGGATTGCTCACGGGGGTGGAGCACAAAGATGCTTGGCTGCTGGACCAGCTTGTGATCGATATGTTGTCAGAGATGCCATCATAGTGTATATTATATGCACAACACATGAACAAAGCTTGTGGTTGATCTTTGCCGGTTAAGCTTCAAGGAGCAGCATCACTCGTCCGGATCATAGCGGACCAATCTTAAGATGGACATGATGACGACCTGTTCCATTTGGTGAGTATCCGCGGATTCGGGTCCGCTACCCGTGAACTGTCTCTTAGACACTCGCGCATGCCGGTCGACTCTCTCCTGTTGGACCTCTTTAAGGTGTTGGAAACATTTATATGAGAGATAAAGAAAATTGAGGACGTCGCACCGCCGAAACACATACAAAGTTGGGGGAGTTTGCACATACGATGACTTCATATCCAACCGATGAGTTAGCTACATGCACCTCACCTTCGATTGCGGAGCACTGCCAAACAAGCCAGACGACGAGAGAGCCCTTCGCAAGCAGGAGTAGGACGACCGCGCCTAACCATTGGGGCCATTCACGTGCCACACAACACGACAACCAATCCATCAAAACATCTTGCTTACAATCCTCTCGTCCTTCACAACCCGTCCAATAACATCCGCGGCCAATGCTGCAGGCACTTGCACCTCTTTGTCTCTCTCTCTCTCTCTCTAACCATTCCTTCTCTGTTCCTCTCAAACACAATGGCTTCCGCTCTACCCTTCCTGGTCTTCTTCTTCCTCCTCCTCCTCCCTCTTTTCCCCCTCGCCCTTTCCCGCGGAACCCCCGGTAGCACTGCTGCGCCCAGCCTTATTCAGAAGACATGCAATGAGACGACGTACTACGACTTGTGCGTCAGTTCCCTCGGGTCCGACCCCCACAGCCGCAAGGCCGACGTCAAGGGCCTCTCCACCATAGCCATCGACATCGCCATCTCCAACGCCACCAACACCTCGTCCTTCGCCGCCGCTCTCGCCCACAACGCCACCGACGCGTCCCTCGTCGCCGTCCTCCGGGCCTGCGCCACCAAGTACGCCAACGCCCGCGAGGCGCTGCAGTGGTCGCTCGACGCGCTGTCCACCGAGGCCTACGACTACGCCTTCGTCCACGTGAGCGCGGCCGCCGAGTACCCCAACGTGTGCCGCGTCCTGTTCCGCCAGAACCCCAGGCTGGCGTACCCGGCGGCCATGGCTCGCAGGGAGGAGGACTTGGAGCACCTCTGCACCATAGCTTTGGAGATCATATCGCTTCTTGGCTGATGAAGTATAACGTGCAAAAAAACCTACTATCATCACCTTGTCTCCCTTCCTTGTGTTACTACATTTCTCGCTAAATCATGCAAAGTGGATGTGAAATTATATGGATGTTGTGGTCTTCACTTGATCCACCAAAATAACAAGTCTCTTTTGGGGTTTCTCTTTCTAAAAGCTGAGGCTAGGTTCTTTGTAGTTGATTGATTCTGCTTGACCATTGGGTGAGACGCTGCTGAAAAATAGGTGCATTGCCTGCTGACGATCTGTACGATTTCTGTTCTCTTTTGGAGGCGAACTGGAAAGGCTAGTTGTCATGGCCCCTCTGACAGTGCATAAAAGTTCAAAGATTCCTTTATTTTCGTTTGCTGCAAATGGTGATTTATCTTGAAGCTTTTATCTCGTTCCATCTCTATCCAAAAACATGATTTACCGACACTCGACAAAAAATACTATCGACCACAGTGGGAGTCGAACCCACGACCTTCTGATCCGAAGTCAGACGCGCTAATCCACTGCGCTATGCGGTCGGTGATGACAAACGTTGAGAACTGTATTTACATATCCTTTATCAAAAGAAAACGATGCCCTGACACCCAAGTATTGGGCAGCGCTCGAAAGGCCGTCGATTTCGAGAGGAGCCCTAAAACTGTCATCTTGATCAGTGACCACTCATCCCGACGGCTAACCCTAAACCCTCCCCCGAGCGAAGCTTCTCTCCATCTCTCCTCCCCTTTCTTCGATCCGCCGCTAAATCTGGGCTGCCCCGCGTCGATCGAGCTCGGAGGCCGTGGATTCCCGCTTCTTCTCCTCACCAATCGCCACATTCGGTAAGCAATTCCGGATCTTGCCGGGTCTCTATTTCAGTGTCTCTTATCTGGGCATTTCGACTTGTTCATTTGACGTCTGTTTTGTCATCCACTTTGCTTAAATAACCGTTCATCTAAGACTTTCAGACGGTGAATGAATCGAGTGATTTATAACTGCAAGAATTGGACGCATTTTCAAGTTTTTCGAGCGATTTATAACTCGTTGTGATGTTAAAGTTCTTTCGTTTCTTTCTTCGATTGTTTCACATTATTGGACGCATTTTCTGCAAGAATCGGAGAGGGTTTGCACAAGTTTTTTCTACAGTGCCGATTTTTCAAGTCGTAGTCTGCAAGAACAGAAAAAAAAGTATCAATCTTGACGTTGGATTGTTATTAGCTCTATAATTGGCTGTTCTTTGCAATTTTCTACCGTGTTTTAAAAGCGTTGGTATTAGTATTAGGATGCGGCTGCGTACGACCTTCAAATGTCTTCGGCATTCTGTCGAACTGTCCAAAAGAAGTGTAATATCACCCCCGCATCGCCTCTTCAGTGATGTTGTGGCCGGAGAGGCCAGCTCGAAGCCGAAAAGATACAAATACCCGGCGGTCTATGACCCATTTGGGCCGAGACCTCCTCCATCCGATAAAGTCTTGCAGCTTGCTGATCGAATCGTGGCCCTCCCCCCTGAAGAGCTGAAACAGATTGGTCCCACACTCCTGGAGCGGCTGAATCAACCCAAGCTGCAGCCAATATCGGCTCAAGGTTTCAGTTTCGGCCCGCAGACAGGTGCCGCTCCAGCAAAAGCCGAGGAGAAGAAAGTGGAGAAGACGGCGTTCGATGTCAAATTGGAGAAGTTTGATGCTGCTGCGAAGATCAAGGTGATCAAGGAGGTCAGGACGTTTACCAATCTCGGCCTGAAGGAGGCTAAGGATCTAGTAGAGAAGGCACCGGTTATGCTGAAGCAAGGGGTCACCAAGGAGGAGGCTAACGAGATAATAGAGAAAATAAAAGCTGCTGGTGGTGTTGCTGTAATGGAGTGAAAGGGCTCGGTCTCAGAGTTTTATTCTGAATGCACAATTCCATTCTTTTGCTAGTGAAATGTGCTTCCAAATTATGGCTCAGAACATTTTGTCCTGGGTGAGCATGTGCGACTCAAGATCTTGTTTGAGATCTTGTATTAATTGTTATTACTGAGACTGGCTGCTGGTGAAGCATCAGTCAATAAGAACACAAGGAGAGATACTTTGATGATCAATGCCATTGCTCCTTTGTTTAGACCTCTATTTTTCTTCATGTCCTTTGATCAACTTAATACATCTCGTGAACACGTTTGGTTACTACACCAATTCATGGTCATTGAATGATGGAACATCATGTGTTCGTTTTGTCCTACTCGGTTTACATATAGCATCACAGACAACAGGATCATAGAAATGTTCGACAGGCTGGTGTTTTGAGTGCTTTTCATACGATGAGACTTGTAATATGTGTTCCTTGATCTTTTAATTTTGCTTGTTTGCGTCGTTGATATGATGGTTGGATTCCTCTGCTCGAAGTCATTGTTGCGAGGTCATTCGGTCTGCTCTGCTATAGATTTGGCTGCTTTTCCGATTGATCTATCAATGAAATTATCATGATTGTATTTTATTTTGCCTTCGTCATACCAATGCTGATCCCAAATGAGTGCTAGAAGATGCATCAGATTTGGATCCGCATTTGATCCAGGAATTATCGTCGTAAAATAAATGCCAATTTTACGATGAGACTTTCCAACATTGTAGAATGCCAAAAAGTTTCAGTTACGAGTCGTCGACAGCAGGATTCGAACCTGCGCAGGCAGAGCCCAACAGATTTCGAGTCTGTCTCCTTAACCACTCGGACATATCGACGTTGTTGTTAATGTGCCCTATAAATATCTAAAAATAGTCAATTTTACTATTCTTTTTCATTCCAACAGTCGATTCCAGTGAGACTTCAGACTTACCATCAAACAGATTCAATGTCCAGTTTTGTTGACGGATAATTTTAACGTTATCACTGCCCTATTTTTGTTCGATTCTTCTAAATCAGTTCAACATTTTGAGATAGAGATCTATGAAACTTGAGCAAAGTTTCCATTTGTTTTCACTCCATAAAATAGAAGCTTAAACCACGAGTGGTGACCAAAGGAAACCTATTTATGATTAGCCTGAACTTTAGGGATGAGCAGTAACCTCCTTATCATTCTATGAGCTGTGTTGTTTCTCTTCTTAAAAACAGAAAGTAAGTCTATAGGCTTGAATTTGGAGATCTGGTTATCGAAATCTGATGATACATCTAATTTATATAGCACAAGCAGCATCAGACACGCACGACATGGATTTGCCTCTTTGACCATATATTTATTCATCTGTCGAGAGTTTGATGTTTCCGGGTGAAATATTCAGAGGATTCCATCTTTTTCTTCTTTGACTTTTTCTCAGATTTACAAGCGCGCTGTCGTATGGTTCGAATTCGTTGATTGGGCTATTCATTTCTGCTCGTCCACTTTCTTCTCCTTTAATCAACATTCTTGTATTCTTCTGAACGGTTCCACATGCTGTGTTTGATGCAGGGAAAAGAAGAACCAGCGCTACAGAGCCATGGTTGGACGCATCCTTAAGCTCTTGCTTTATGCCATGGGTTGCTTTCATGGGGAGACTTTCTTGCTTTCGGAGATGAAAGTGACCGTGTTGGTACGCCTCATGTTTGTTCCGTTCCTGTTACTTGGAGAAGCAAAGGATCGATGTGAAAGACAAAGCGCCCAGCCCCGTTTTATTATCACAAAACTAATGAATGATCCAAGTCTCAACTCATTCCATGTTTCGGTTCCTAGAGAATGCCTCCTTGTTTGCAATCATCAACGCCTTCTCGGACAGACTTATTCGTCCTGTTGACGGCGGACCCTCACTGCATGCATCATCATAGTATATTGAAGGCACTGCCCCCCCCTCCTGTCCTCCTACCACTCTTCTTCTCGGACAACCTACAATCGTAGCAGCTCATATGTATATGTACATCCCCCTTCTTTAATCACCTGTTGAAACAAGGGATGCCTGCCCGCTGCAAACATCCTTTTGTAGCTTCGTTCATTTACTTACCCTCCTCCTCCGTCATTGCTTCATGCGGGAGCTCCAATGGATGATATGGCCGTTTGCTTTTCTGCTTCAGATAAAGACCTACGGGCCCCTACAGCCATGTATTATCATCATCGACAAGAAAAAAGGTTCGGGGAATGTCATGGCTGCTCGACTGCGATCCTCCTTGGGTTTTTGGTTTTACTGGTCATGTGCACCGCGCTTCGAGTCTTTTTAGGTGACCCATTGCTTTCTTCTCCTGAATCATGATACCTCTACCGATGCATCTGTATCATCTCTCGCCTTAGATTCTGCTCTTCTCTTTCCTTGTTGTGAGGTCGCTGTAGACGTGATTTTGACTCCCTCATTTTGTCAAACTCGGAAGCATTATACTGTGTGGTGATAGTTTTATGCCACGCTTGCGGCCTGTCTTGTAATTTATAGCTGGCGTAGCAGCTTTTCTTTTCGAAAGTGGTGGTGGGAAGCACGTAGGATACTAGCTTTGCCCTTTGTTTATCTTCTTCTCCCGACATGACATTGCCTAAGTGATCTCGGGTCATGGTTTCGATCAGTCCATTGTCATTGGGCAGGCATCAAGTACTGGTTTGTCATGAGAGGGAAGAAGCTTGTTGAGCGGAGGACATGAAAGCAGGCCGAGCATCCATTGCAGCCCGGCCGGTTGGAGATTGTTGATTGCGCTTTGGCTTGCACCGTCAACGAGTAACTTTCTTTCTTTCTTTCTTTCCGGGTGGGTAGCACCATTGCAGCCTGCAAGTCTTCACCTGACTGGTTCGTTTTCTACTTTTGCTTCTTGTCAGTAGTTCCCATTCATTTCTGTTCACCTTGAATTCCATGGCCGGTCTGCATGCTTCTTGCTTGCGCTTCACCTCTCGCACCATCACGGTCGTCATTCTGAGAAAGTACTAACAACAGCTCGCTCTCTCTCTCTCTCTCTCTCCCCGTCGTTAAACCGCAGTTCTCTTCAGCTACATTGTTGTAGCAGCAAATTTGGGTTCCTATATACTGACTCTGGCTTGTGCTGACATCTGAATTAAGAAAGGTTGGGTCCAAATTTCTGTGCTTCTGTTGCTTAAGAGATACCCCCATCATATGTTTTCTTTTGAACATCTTGAACCTTTTCGTTTGCAATCACTTGAAACTTTTAGTAATGAGTTTGCCAGCCAACTGTATGTTCATCCCTTTTTCTCATTGTTATTGGAATGGGCAAAGGAAAGTAATAAAGAAGAGATAGTAGAAGAGCTGCTTTAACACGAGTGATCCGCCAAGAATGACGGATCAAGTGGAATCCATTTGTGGGTGATAAAGATTAATGAAGTATGGATTAGAATGGGCACATAGCTTGCTAGCTGCTCTTAATTTCACATGACATAATAGCCTTGTCATGGCAATCTCTTAGCTGAGTTTGATCTTTGTAAGTTCTAGTTGAGCAGGCTACTGACCCGCATATTGTTGGTGTACAGGGAGGGACAAAACACCATGAATGGTTTTGGAGAGAGGTCATCATCAGAACTAGCTTACCGTAGGGATGGTTCTTGGAAGGACATGGGAACATCAATGAGTGCCATCTCGTTCGGTTTAGCTGCCACCGCGATCTTGATCTCCATGTTCCTCGTCATGGCCATATTTGAGCATCTAATCAAGCCAAGGGCATCGTTTCTTCGCTCCCGAAACAATGCACATGGTTCGTCGGAGCTCGACCGGCCACAAGCTCAGATTCATCGCTCTCAGGAGAAGGTTCAGAACTCCATAACAGTAAGTTCCTCTGAATTATTGCCTGTAATGCTTCGGCAGTGAGTCACTCTGACCACCATTGTCGCTTGGTGATGGCAGGTCGGAACGCAGTGCGCATCTGATCTCTCCGTGTTAATGCCGGGACAGCGGTTTCCCACTTACATCGCACAGCCTGCTCCTCTACCTTGCCCCAGAGAGGGGATAATTTGGCCCTCCCATGTTGCTCATGTGTCCTACATGTAGCTGATGTGATCTATCGCCTATAGCTTGGAAGCGGCTGTCTGCAATGTGATTTGTTCATACGAATACGATTTGATTTTTCTTTCATGCTCGAATGTAATGCCAAAAACAAGACATCCTTAATCTCAGCAAGTAATCGGGATGTAAGCAGGCACAACAGCTGATTTCTTGTGGGAGGAAAACCGAGGACGGGCTCCTTTTCCTGTTTCCTTCTGCAGACCATTTGATGAGGGCAAATGCCAATGAAATGAGAGTAATCCAAAAAGCTTAATCAACGCTACAAAAATCTGAAAGGAAGCAGCTCATCTACTTCTAATGCAAGAAACTGAAGGCCAACTGGAAGGAATAAAGCAAAGTCAGATCTGAGACACTAATGCTTGAAGTTCCACATCTGATGAGACCAGGGAATCGATCAACCATCCCAACAAAAAACCATCTTCCTCTTGCAATTGCTACACGATCGAGCTTGGCCTCATCGCCCTGTTTACAGAAGAAAGGAGAGAGCAACATTATTAACCAAGTGCTGTTGGAAAATCCAAATCTAAAGCTGCTTCAAAAGACTCAATTTGCTTCTTTTTATGATCCAGCCATTTATGGATAGAAGTAGCCAAATCAAAGCGTATTATTTATCTTCTTGCCGGAGAAATATTGACTTGTCTGCTCAACGTCTCAAATTAGTAATGAAAGTTTCAAATTAGATCTCCGTTTCACAATGCACAATAATTTTCTTAGTTTTTCTTTTGCCACCGTAATATTCATTCATTCATTTATTCCTCTCATTGATCAGATTGCTTGGGAAATCATTCAGTCCTCTTTGACTGTCATGCCAGTGCATGCCGGCCCACCTCTTAGTTCTGGAGCATTCCTTCGGCTCAGCCGACTCCATACACTGTCTGTCTCCAGCTGACAGTCCAAAGATTGCCTGAGACGGGACTTAGCAAATCGAAATGGAGTCTTACCGCAATGGCCATCCATGCCTCAATTATTTTCTTTGTCCTTTTGACATGCTTTGAGAAACGATGGTTTCTATTGGAGAGTTGACTGTCTGTCAAAGGGTTAATTTCATGAAGGATAAGAAGAAATTTCTCCTGCTTAGTGTGAAGTAAAAAACATATGTTTCGATCCACTAACGTGCTACTGTCCGGTCCTCTCAGAACTCAGTCTTCCCCATGTAGGAAGGCAACTACCAGGAGCCAATGCTTTAGACCTGAGGACAATAAGGAGGAGTCGTTGGACGGACAGTCCCCAACTTTTTCCCATTCATCTTTCTCTGTGGCGTTGACTTTGCATTGGTGTGCTCGAGAGGGCACTCCAAAGACCAGTCTTCCATTCCAGACCCAAGTCCTCCCCGCTTTGGAAGTCTCCCGGCTCTTGGTAATTCATCTTTACCAAGTCCCAGTCAATTTTCTTTTTGCTGTTGTTCTCAGAACGATCTTCTCGGTTGGTACATATTTACTATATCTCTCCACAGTTCTTTTCGGCTAGCATCCCCTTTGACCCTTTGGTTTAAATGCACCTCCTCAATCCATATTTCTGGCTCCGCCACCCACCTTGCAGGTTTCCTGATCCCAAATTTCAATCTCCAGCTGCCCACTGCACCATCATCATCGCCCCTATTCCATCTGAAGCTCCTTGCCTGCCAAATTTCGCAAGGCTTTGTCACCTCCTCGAAGTAGTCAAGCATGATGAATGGGTACCGCAAGATGAGGGTGAGCGATCGCTTCATAAGCAAGTCCAGCTCCATAGACTTCTCAGACCTCACCTTCTATCCTGAGCCAAAGGAAAGCCATGAACACCCATATCCCACATCTATGGCTCAAGAGAGAGACACCAATGTCGAGATTCATGATCGGTACTTTACATGGCAAGAGGTGGATGCGGCACGGCCGGGCTCTGGGTTAGCACTTAGCAGGAGCTGCTCCTCTGCCTCTCGAAGGTTCAGGGCTAGTGGCAAGACCATCCTCGAGACCATGGTGAGGAAGGCCTTCACAATGAGGAGGTCCTCCTCTGTTGCTGGAGGGTACTGGAGGATCCATGACACCGATGGTGGAGATGGGGAAGGGGAGTTTGTAGAGGAGCAGCAGCTGAGATCTCCCATGAAGAAGAAGAAGAAGAAGAAGGGGAATATTCTCAGGGCATGCAAACAGATCTTTGGATTCTAGGCAATGCCATCTTTTTGTAACGAGACCTATCTTTCTTCGTTTGCTTCGAGAGGGAGAAAAAGAGAATAAAAAGAAGAAATTCTTGCTTGCTCCGATGCTTGTGTTGGCGTTTGCGATCGAATAATAATAGTTTCCCGTCCCTCGGTTTTCTTCCTTTTTGGACTGTGGTCATCACTCTCAGTTGTCTGAGACTACCTGCTCGAGCACATCAAGGCAAGCTGCCCTCCTTTTAAATGGTAATCTACCTAATTTATTTTGATGTTCATCGTCTTAGCGCAATCGAATGGTGATCTACGAAGATTGGCGTCTCTTTGGGTGCAAAGATTAGGTATCTTTAATCTCTGTAGACGCAGTTGCTGTTTTTGATCGTCCAACATAAATTTCTCATTTATTTTTGGTCTTGCAGTTAATAAGACGCAACTCCTTGTCCTCTATCCCACACACAGATCGAAAAAGAAGAGAAAAAAAAAAGAAAATATCTTTTTTGATTGGATTATTACTATTTACAAGGCGTTCGATTTACGTCGAGAGCTTTAGTCTTTTCACTTGAGAGTTGCTTTTTAGCTGCCGGTTCCATGATTGAGGGACGCCACTGGAAAGTTTGCTTCCTACCGATCCTATTGGACCTTTCGAGTGAGATCCAATCACAATTTAGATCCTTCCGAATGCTGGCATTAACATGAATCTAAATCAGATTTTGAGCAGCATCCAAAGTGAATAATCATGCTTGCTTAGTTAGATTTTCTTTTTTTGTTTTCCGGCTTAATTTCTTTCCTCGGAACCGCGTCCTTGTTGAGATTCGCACGTAATCTTGATGGGCACTCCCAGATTGATCCCCACCCAACCCAAATAAAAGAAATGCCACCAAATATCCGCACTAGGTTCTTGAATTCCGAGAAAAGGACCCCACAGCCTTATAAAGGAGCGGGCCAAACGAAGCCCGATCTATATCGGTATCTAAGCAGCGACAGCGGCCGGACCGGAAGGGAATTATCCCACCCGGTGCACCTGCGGTGGGGTTTTAATCTGTACTCCCAAATCGTCCCCATTCGTCTCATCTCCCTCCCTCAAAGTCTTGGGGTACCGAGATCAATAACAGGCAAGCTTTTCCCTTTTCTTTTTTACTTTTATATTCCCCGGGTGAATTTTACGTGGTTATTCAGTTTGTGTTCAGTTCGTCCACTGGAATCCTGTGAAGCTTCTCTGGTCTTTTTCTGTTGTCGGCTCCGTGAAACCTGACCTTATCTCCTGCGCCTCTCCAATCCATATTAGATCCGTTGTTCGTTGTCCTTCTCCCTCGCGCCGCGGGCGGGATCTCGTGGACATTTGATCTGGTTACGTTTCCTTGTTCAGGCTGGAGTTCTTTTGGATCGCAAGTCCTTATCTTTTTCGTATCCTGCATCTTTACGAGTGCATTCTGTGGGGGAATTAAACGAATTTTTTTATTTTCTTTATTCGTGTATGTGATATAAAATTCCTATTAGCTGCTAAAGTCCTGCACGTAATAGCAGCAGCAGTCTCGGGAGGACCGTAGGCCGCACACACGCCGTAAGACTAGCGCTCATGACGAGAACAGCGCCAGGAGGCTCCTCCTCCTCCTCCTCCTCTTCCCCCTCGGTGTCCCCCAGGAACCGCCTGAAGTTCCTCTGCAGCTACGGCGGCAAGATCCTCCCCCATCCCTCCGAAAACCACCTCAGGTACGTCGGCGGCGACACTCGCGTCCTCGTCGTCACACGCTCCATCTCCTTCTCGGGTAGGTTTGTATGTATGTATGGATGTATATGTCCGTATATACGCAGATTCAGACACACATAATCTTTCCTTGTATTTGGTGGGTAGCAGAGCTCAAGGAAAGGATCCAGGAGATGTTCCACTGCTGCGTAGCGATCAAGTACGAGCTGGTGGCCAAGGACGTGGAAGCCCTCGTCTCCGTCACCTGCGACGAGGACCTTGCCTACATGCTCGACGAGTACGACCGCCTCGACGCGCGGCAACCCCGCTTCCGCCTCTTCCTGTTCCCCTCGCCTTCCTCCAATCTCGCCGCCGTCACCGCCGACGACCAGCGCCAGGTCGGCGGCGTTCCGGGAAGCCCTCGGCGCCCCATCTCCGCCGCCTCCTCCTCAGCTACCTCCACCATCGACGGCCAGGCCTCCATCCTCGCCCTTCGTCTCAACGCCCTCACCGCCAATGACGGTGGCGGAGGGACGCATCGGGTCCGTAGCGCGCCCAACCTGCGAGGCGGCGGATTGCTGAGCCAGATCGCCAATGGTGCCGTTGGCCAGTACCACCACAATCACCCCGAGCAGCACGTCCTTCGCCGACAGAAGAGCTCTGGGGCATCATCGTACGGGTCTCATGCCGCCGGGGGGAGCCGGGCCCTGAGGGCATGTGGGGCCAAACTGCGCGAGGTCTGCAGGTGCGGTGCTGGGTGCCGAGTGACGTGGGTGCCGCAGCCGGCGGCGGTGGGCGGTCTCCACTACAGCGACCGGCGAGGCATGTGCTTTGGGCACGCGGAGGAGTCGTCCTCTCGCCGCTTATCGAGGTGCAGCTGGCCGCCTCCGAAGCCTGTCAGGTAGCGGTAGGCCTTGGGCTTTGTGATTCGGGCTCGCGATCTGTGCCGTCCACCACTCTGGTTTCTAAAAAACATGTTCTCTCGATTTTGGTTTTGTTTTTGTTCTGTGGTGTTAAACGGCCATATTAGAAAACGTTGTTCTTTTTCTGTTTATGTTTGTGCGATTCCGGTAGCAGATTAAGGAAGGATCCGACGGTGCTGTATAGTGTTACGAGCATCGGACGGTCAAGAAAGACCGACATTATATGGAGACTTTGCATATACCGTATGGGAATTCCTTTCACTGTTTGTGGAGTACGGGACTATTCATTACAGGACACCTAAATAGTTACAAGCCAAATCCAAAATGCATACACAACGTATTATTGGAAGGAGAAAGGGGTAAATGTGAAGCACCTTTAGAGTAAAATTGACATTAACAAAAAAATAAAATCATGTACTTGTTCATTTTTATGAAAAACTACATGTACACAAAAAAAAATATATTTGGATAATTTACCCACAAAAAAAACACTACTAATTGCTTTTTACTAAATGAGTGAGTGAGGTAAAGGCACCTCTTTCACATGAACAACAATAGCAAGATCGTTAAATAGATCCCGACCCCAATTCCCGCCCTCCGTTCGACCAAAATGCCCCTTCGCCACCCCTTGCATCGCCCCACCGCCATCTCCCCCTCCTCCGTCCTCCTTTTGCGCCGCACCTTTTCGCTTCTCCATGCGTTCGCCGATCCCTACTCCCTCTCCGCGGCCCTCCGCGCCTGCTCCGCCGCCTCCCTCCTCCGCCCCGGGCAGCAAGCCCATGCCCTCGCCCTTACCTCCTCCCTCGCCAGCAACCCCCTCGTTGCCGCGCGCCTCGTCGACATGTACTCCGCTTGCCACCGTCTCGCCGCCGCTGCCCTCGTCTTCGACTCTGCCGAGCCCTCGGCCCTATCCAATCGCGTCCTCTGGTCCACTCTTATCGTGGGTCTCGTCCAGAACGGCGACGCCCGCAGCGCCATGGAGCGGTTCCGCAGCATGCGGGCGGGGGCCGTCGAGACCAACCATTTCACTCTTCCGACCGTCCTCTCTGCCTGCGCTTCCGAGAGAGCGATTCGCTTCGGCCGCCAGGTTCACGGCTGTGCAGTCCGGGCCGGCTTCTGCTCCAGTCCCTTCGTCCAGAGCTCGCTTGTTAGCCTCTACTCCAACTGCGCCGACCTCGGCAGCGCCAAGCGGGTCCTCGAGTCATCGGACTCGGACGACCCGATCTCGTGGAACGCCCTGATCGTTAACTGTACGCGTGGCTCGTTGCACGCGGATGCACTATCCTTGTTCGCCGAAATGCACCGCCGGGGCCTCGCGTTGGACGAGTTCACCTACCCCTCCGCCCTGAATTCCGCCGCCTACATGGGCGACTTGGGCACCGGCGGATGCATCCACTGCCTAGTCCTACTGAGCGGCTTCGATTCCCATATGCACGTGGCGAACGCCTTGGTGGACATGTACGGCAAGCTGGGGAGCCTCAACTGCGCCCAAGGAGTGTTCGACCGAATGCCAAGGAGGGACGTTGTGACGTGGACCTCACTGCTCGTGGGCCTCGTCCGCCAGGGGTCGCACGACGTGGCCCTCCAACTTTACTCCGATATGCGCGCCCATGGGGTCGATCCGGACGAGTTCGCCACGGCAGGGGTGCTGAGTTCCTGCGCGGGTTCGACCGCTCTTGAGCTGGGCCGGCAGGTGCACGCCGCGAGCGCACGCCGCGGCATCGACACGTTCCTCTCGGTTTCCAACTCGTTGATCAGCATGTACGCCAGGAGCGGGTCCATCAACGATGCCTGCGCGGTGTTCGACGCCTCGCCCCGCCGCGATGCCATCACGTGGACCGCTCTGATCGTGGGATGCGCCCAGAATGGGCGGGGCAGGGATTCCCTCCGTCTCTACGACGAGATGCTCGAGGCCGGGGTCCGGCCGGACTACGTGACCTTCATCGGATTGTTATTCTCGTGCAGCCACGCCGGTCTGGTCGAGCCCGGTCGAGCTCATTTCGAATCGATGGAGAAGGTCTACGGTATAGCCCCCGGGCCGGAGCACTACGCGTGCATGATCGATCTGCTGGGCCGGTCCGGGCGGGTGGAGGAGGCGGTCGATCTGCTGGAGGGGATGAGCGGCAAACCGGATGCGACGGTGTGGAAGGCACTACTGGCGGCGTGTCGGGTGCACCGGAATGCGGGGCTAGCGGAGCGAGCGGCGGAGCGGCTCTTCGAGCTGGCACCGGCGGACGCAGTGCCGTACGTGATGCTTTCGAACGTGTACTCTGCGGCGGGGCGGTGGGGCGACGTGGCACGGGTCAGGTCTCTGATGAGGGCTCGTGGGGTGAGCAAGGAGCCCGGGCGGAGCTGGATGGAGCAGGACGGAGCCGTGCACGTGTTTCGGGCGGGGGAGCGGGAGCACGAGCGGGCTGCAGAGATCTTCGCCAAGGTGAAGGAGATGATGCAGAGGATAGAAGAGGAGGGGCACACAGCGGACACGGGGTTCGCCCTGCATGACGAAGGGGAGGAGGAGAAGGCCGCTGAGCTAGCGCACCACAGTGAGAGGCTGGCCGTGGCCTGGGCTCTCATCAGTGTCCCACGAGGGAAGCCCATCCGGGTGTACAAGAACCTCCGGGTGTGCGGCGACTGCCACACGACCCTCAAGCTGGTCGCCAAGGTGTACGAGAGGACCATCGTGCTGAGAGATGCCAATTGCTTCCACCATATGAGGGAAGGCTTCTGCTCTTGTGGCGACTATTGGTGATCGGTTTATCCCTTCTGCACGACAATAAGGAAGAACGTGGGATCATCCGTAGATGGGCTTCAATGCATGGCACTGGTGTTTCTGCTGAAGCATGACTGTTCTACTGGAGATACCATCAGTCCCGCGGATCACTCCACCCGCAGTTTGCAAGTCCAAAAGGGCGGCGGATCAGCAAATGCAACTTTGACGAGGGACATGCTAAGTGGAGTTATTTGAAAGATGCTGTGAGTATTATTCCTGTTCTTTAATTTAGATCCTTTTCTGACCCAGTGACCTCATTTTGGAGCTTATTCTCAATTTGAACCGTGCCTGATTGCCTAAGTTATCCTAATGATGCATAGTGGAAATCCTAATTCAGGACATTGTTTAACAAGTTCAAAAAAAAAAAAGTGAAATGCATGAAACCAAACCAATACCATTGAATCCAGTTATGATATTCTTTCCCATCTGTTTGCAGCAAGAAAAATCAGATGTGAGCTTACCAAGAGAAACTGGTCATTTTGCTGCAGCTTTATCACCAGATTAGCAAAGGTAATTTCTCACTAAATTGTAACTTTTCTCTTATGTTACTAGCTAATTCAACATTGAATAGATCTGGAATCACACAATGTACCAATTCTAGGTATTAATAGATATTTCTAAGATAACAATTTAGGGGGTAGTTATATGGATGCTTATTGACACTTTTTTTAATGTTGAAAAGCATTCTTGGGTTTCATTTTAATCATCTGAATATAAATATGATGTTTCTAATTTGTTGTCACTTTAGGGTTTGTTTTATTCAGGTGATATGTGCACAAGCAAATAATTATGATGGGTCATTGTAAGCTTAACAAGTATATATCCACAGCGGGATTCGATTTCAGTACTTTACGATATACTATCAATGTCTTTGCTAACTAAACTAGTTAACACTTTCATGTGTGCACAAAGTTATTATTGTTGTTATGCTTTATCATTTTCCAACTATGAAATCTATTCTCAAATCAATGACTAATGTAGTGTATGTGAACAATGTGATTGGAGAGTATGTAACTTAAAAGCTATGATTTATGCCTTTTGCGTCGAAGAGTTTGTGATGCATTACTTGATGTCGTCGTTATTTAAAATTTAATCGAAGATGCTCTTCGGGTCCTAGGAAGTTCAGTTTATGATAAAATTGATGCAAAAAGGTTTCATCGTGAATTAATAAACAGACAAACCCTTTTTTTTTTCTTTGTTTGATGAAAACTGTTCGATAACAAACTAATCATATAAGACTCTCTTAAAGATGATTGTTTCTTTATGTATCGAAGCGACCACAAGTGGACTACTATCAATTTGAGAAATGCACTTAATCGTGATCCGTTCTTCAGTCAATTTTTGGCCCCAGTGGAAGCTCAAATTTGTCTGCCATTCATTGAGCTGAATTAATTTCGACGTCTCTTTGTTCCTATTTTTTAGTGTCGGTAGAGAAAGGATGATGGCATCCTTCTATATTATTTTTTTTCTTGCATTATAGCTATTTTCACAGATATTGAACATTACTTGTCTGACAAACCAGCAAATAGTAACACACCTTATGAATTCAAAATGGAAACTATGTTGCTGATCATATTTTCTTGATTTATCCACTAAGCCTAACCAAAGTAGAATTTAAGGCTCACAACGTTTTATTTCTCTTTCTCCCATAGCAAAAACAAAGACACTATGTACATCTTTTTATTTGAAAAGGCAACAGAAAATTGACAACAGTTACTTTGTGTTTAAGCAAATCCTGTACAGATAGCTCACTTGTAACCTTTGCTTAATGCATCACAAATAAATCTCTTAGGAGTTATCTTGTTTTGGCTTCCTGCTCAAATCGGAATATTGTCCTCCCATGAGCTGCAAAATCTCCTCCCACAAGTTTGATGAAGAAGGACCACCCACAGTTGCTCCGTCGATCAGATGTGAGCTGCAGGCGGCGACAACCCAGTAGTCGGACTCGATCTCATCCAATAACTGATCAAACTGCCAGCCGGCGTAGCCCACAAAGAATCTAAAATCTTGAGGCCTCAGCACTCCTTTCTTGACGAGCGCAGCAGCTTCACTGAGGCTGTTCCTGCCACCAAAGCAAACACCTGAGATCACCTCCTCAAGACCTGGAAGCGGTGCTCCAACGCCCATCCTCAACAGGAACATGTTAGCCTCAAGCGGTCCCCCAAAATGAACAGAACAGTCTGCGAAGATGGTTGCAAGGTTAATGTTTGATGGTTTCATGTCCTTGATCTTCCTATGCAGAGGCCGGTTCAGAATGACTCCAAAGGGACCATCTCTAGGGTCTCTCGATCCTAATCTGAGAAGAAGGACAACAGTTCTCTCGAAGCTGGGGACTCCATCAAGCTTTTCTGTGGCAACTAATACACATCCAGTCTCCGGTACAGGAATAGAGTGTGCCCACTTCAGACCAAGCCGTTGGGGTGGCTCAATTGAGGCCGTGTCCTTGCAAGCAGTGCCAGAGTCGATAAGTTGCTCCTGAAAAATCAAGTTGAAAGGCTACTTGCCTAAATTCCCCACCAAGTTTCAAGCAACTCAGGCTAACACAACAGACATAATATCATTTTACATCAGCAAGCTATATATATACCATTGCAGTCAACCCCTTGATAATACTGATCCCTGTTTAAGAAGAAACAATTGATGTTGTTATTTAGACTCTTTAATAACATGAACACCCAAAATTTATTCACCTTATGCAAATGAACATTTGATGTTCTGCTCTCATCTAATTTGATTTCACATGTCTCGTGCAAAAGTGTAGATTTTCTTCAATAAAATGTCAACTTCTTCTCAATTTAATTGCTTGTATCACTATCGATAAGAATTTGCAGTACCAAAAGCATTTTACATATATTTTTAAATTTTGATGTAGTACTAGCAAAAGAATTTTACATCTCTTTTTTAATTTTGTAGTACTAGTGACTGATGCCTAGAGCATGAAATGGATGGACCACCTGCAATGTTTAACTATTTCAGCTATCTCTTGATACCGTGGAAGACTCAAAAGAGACTAAGAAATCAGTTTGGTCCTCCAAGTGGTTCTTCAATTCTACTTGTGAGTTGAATTGTAGGTTTGTTGTTAGATCAGGAAAAGCTTTAACAATAAAAAATAGCATGATATAAGTCTTACAGTTCCAGTATCTAAGTAAGCATAGTCCTCAGCATGATTAAAACATAAGATTGATTGACCAAATAATGCAGTAATATCTCCATGTAAATATAGAGTGTTACCATCCAAGATTGGAATATAGAATCCTTCAATAATAAAGTATTGACACAGCAAACAATACCCAAAATTGTAAATAATTGATTAGTAATGACAACTTACATATATTTTTAATAGTTTAACATAAATGAAATAGCAAATCAAGATTCATACCACAAAGTTTAAGTGAATTCTGGCGTTGCATATCATGTGACATATGTCATGCCAGCCAAGATCAGTCATTAACATCAACACCTACAACAACAATTTTGATTGGACGATGTGCTACTTGCATTAGTTTTTTTTAACTCACCTGCTCCTGGGCAACAAGATTTGCTCTGAAATCTCGCCAATCTGACAATGAATGATTGGACATAGTGGAGTCATCGAATTTTGATTTGTTGTAATGTGGAATGTTTCCATCAAGACCATCTTCTTCAGGAACTGAAGAATCACTATTCCCTGCTAAACAAATGATTTGTGAGTTTATAAAGCATTGTAAACATCTACCAAAACACAGCTTTTCAATGATTGACATAAGTCAACAGATATTGTAAGACTTCAAATGACTAAGATTGCAGTGGCATACTGTATGGGCTTCCCTCTATCACACTTCACAAAACGGGTGATTTCAATTATCCTTGCTATTTCTTTAAAATTGCATGTTCTTGCTTTCCAATATCAGTCTCATCTTAAGATTCAGAATCATGGTCTTGCAGCTAAGTTCAGACATAAGGATACTGAGATGAATGTTCATAAACAACTGAGAATTCCTAGACTTTACCTTTTGAACCAGCTATTATTGCATGTCTTTTGTGCATTGAACCATCTGTTCTCAAGTTCTGCATTGACATGTGGTAACCATCAATGACACTCTTTTTACGCAAGTGTACCTGTCTAGGAATGTTAAATGCTGTTTTACACAAAACAAAAAATAGTCTAACTGCCTTCTTCAGAACATTCTTAAAGACAAGATTCTGCTAGTTTTGTTTGATGCAAGAACTGATCCAACCAACATTTTTGTGATATATACCATACACTTTAGATTGTTTTGAGAATCAATTAGACCAAAGGAATGGAAATCACAGCAGGCCATTTATTTCTCAAAATGTAGCATAGTGCATGTGACTACAGATCTGAAGAA